CGCCACTATGCCCAGCTAATTTTTTGTATTTTTAGTAGAGACAGGGTTTCACCATGTTGACCAGGATGGTCTCGATCTCTTGACCTCGTGATCCACCCGCCTCGGCCTCCCTAAGTGCTGGGATTACAGGCTTGAGCCACCGGGCAAGGCCCCAAAACTTTTTATTTTCATGTCATTTGAAGCCTATAGAAAAGTTGCAAAAATAGCCTAAGAAATTCTTATTTACTCTTTACCCACATTTGCCAAGTGTTTATATTTTTCCTCTTTGCTTTATTGATGACCAACAGCCAAATATCACCAGAAACATACCTGTAACCAGAGACAGTTGATTATACCTTTCTGCAGCAAGGAAGCTCACATACCAGAGGCTGTCTTTGTAAGAGTTTAGGAAGGGCTAGCATATGGTTTCACATAACGTATTAGGTAATATTAGATTATATACCAGATAAAGATATTTATTAAATATTAGATATCTATTAGACGACTGCTAATAGTTAATTGTATTATCTATTAGATAGTACAAGATAACATATTACCTAACATCATGTTATATACTCTGCAGTTCTACATTTAAATTTGTTCTGGTTTTCACTTAAGGTTCTAACAAGTGTCCACTCCCCACCCACCACCACCACCTCTGTCCACAATCTAATTTTATGCATTGCCTTTAGTTGTCCCATTTCCATAATCTTCTTTAATCTGGAGGATTCTACACCCTTTGTCTTTCTATGCTTGATATTTTTGAAGAGTATCGGCAAGTTATTTTGGAGAAAGGCATTCATTTGGGGTTGTGTCTGATGTAATTCATGTGCAGGTTCAGATTATGCTTTGCTGGTAGGGATACCACAGAAGTGGTGAGATGTCCTTTTCGTTGCAATATAACAGGGTCCAAGTGATGTCAGTTTGTCTCTTTATTGGTGATCTCAACCTTTTCCACTTGGCCAGGATGCTGTCTTTCAGATTTCTCCACTATAAAGTTAGAATTTTTTGTTTTTAAATAATAATGTTTCTTAGGAATAGATAACATTACTAGTGGGCATTCGGCTGTAAAATGACCTTTTTCTCCATTTATTCTTGGATTTGTTCAACTGCAAATATTCTGTCAATATGGACTCAGAATTGATTCTTGTTAAGTTCAATGACGTATATGTTAACAATTATTTTTTCCCACCTATTGTATCATAGAACTTAAATTTCAGGTGTACATCCAGTGATCATTAGAAAGTTTGCTGAAGGGAGTAACCATCACCACAATTCAGTGATCATTTCATTCCTATATGGGTCTCCTCATGCCTACTTATGATTAAGCTTCATTCTCACTCAGCTCTGAAGTAATTACTAATCAGTTTTCTCTCTATGTGCATTCTCCTTCCTGGACTTTCTACAGAAATGGAATCCTGCAATATGTGGTCCTTTGTAACTGGCTTCTTTCATTTAGCATAATGTTTCAAAGGTTCATATATGTTGTAGCATGAGTCAGTGCTTCATTTTCTTTAAATTTCCAAATAAGATTCCATTGTTTGGATAGACCATGATTTGTCTATCCATTTACCCATAGGAAGGCATTTTGGTTGTGCTGTTTTGGGCTTTTATGATTAATGCTGCTGTGAACATTCATGTGCCAATTCACAACACACATCCCTGTTGGTGGGTGTCATCCCTGGCCACCTTTTCATGTCTCTTTTTCTGCCTTTTCTGGCACTTTGCAGGTACAATTCTGCTTTCCCAGGAATCGCATCCCTCAGTACGCCGCAAGTTCCCAGAAGTAAGAGGGAAGATGACCATGTTCAAGGTGAGTAGGATTTGCATCTCTTACTCTTAAAATTCCATCTCAGTACTCAGACTGTCACAAGTTTTTCTCTGTCTTGGGAAGATTCGAGGAGAAAAACAGGCATTTGAGGATCTCTTGTGTACCAGGTGCTTCCTTTGTTACTTTTGAGTGGATTTTACATTTGTTTTTAGTTCTTGTTTTCTTGTATCATTTAGTCTATGGAGTAGACAAGATTGTTGGAATGGATAATTCTTTTATTTTACTACTTCTCTGCTCACACATTAGCTATTTTTATCCTCTAATACAATACTCTTCCTCATGTACATTCGTAACTGTATTTGTATTGGTGATATTAATCTAATTTAAATTGCACTGTTTGTATTTAATATTATATAATGTTCATTTTTAATGGTTGCATCATATTCCCATTTAAATCGGTGCTCCTTTTTAATTAGTTTATATTCCCAGACACTGGGAACTCAATTTTGAAAGGGTACTTTAAATGTGTGCCACATTGGCCCTTTTGTAGATAGAGTACCCATATGTGGCACATTACGGCAAGCTGTAACTGTGGCTTCACACAAGGATTGCTGGAAGTTTCCACACAGGAAGAGCCAGATTTTCTTTCCCCCAAGTCTGGGTTGTGCCTTCTGCGTCTTTTATTTAGTGGTCTTTCTTTATTCCTTTATATGTTAAGAAATTTGACCGAAGTAATATTTAACGTAAATTTTTTGTGCATGATACTAGATTTGCCAGTCTTTGTGTTTTGTTTCTTCATTTACTCCTCAGAACAGCTGAATGAGGCAGTTCTTATCTTCCTCTTAAACACACGAAATATGAGAAACCTGCTCATGTTTAGACAGGAGACTAAGAGTCAAGAATATTAGCCATTTTACTCAGCTGAAAGAGAGAGAAAAAGAGAGAATTCTCCATTGAGGGGCCTGTGCCCTGTGGTGTGGGTGTCTGGAGTATCCTGCTGAGTGATGACATCTACAGGTGGCACTGCTCCTCCCTGGCCCTACCTTGGGAGGGGGATGCCTTCTCTTCTTGTCATAGTACCTCTTCCTTGGCTCCCAGCACTTCAGGTACCCAAAAACAGCAGTTACCATAGTCATGACAGAAAATTTTAAAATTAATTAAGGGAAAAGATGCCTTACACAGTGTTACCAGAAAACGTAATAGTCTAAGGTGAAAATATTTACCCTTTGGATATCTAAAAAAAGATACAATCCAAAATAAGAATCTTATGCACAGAATAGAGAAGAAAATCCAAAGAAATATGAATAAAGGAGATTACCAGGAGGAGAAAAACAGGTGGCAATAAATATTTGAAAAGATGTTGATATTCATTTATAATCAAATAAGTGAAAATAATAAAACAAAGTCGTGGCCAGGCCTGTGACTCACACCTGTAATCTAGGCACTTTAGGAAGCTTAGGAAGGAGGATTGTTTGAAAGCAGGAGCTCAAGACCATCCTGGTAAACATAGGAAGATGCTATCTCTACAAAAAAAGAAAGACCAAAAAACCAAAAACAATTTCTTTCTGATCAGAGTACCAGAATAATGGGAAAATTGGTAACCTGCTTTTGGCAATATTAAGAAAATCAGAATAATGTATCCCCTTGAAAAATTTTGGAGTTAAAAAAAATTGAGAAAGTGTGACACATAATCACAATTTAAACATTCTTATTTTTTGACATTTTATTATTTAAAACTTATTTAAATAGGAGAGTAAGATCTAGCTGAAATGATGTTCTTTATTGGATTGGTAATCATGGAAAATATATAAAATTAAACGTTTATTATTTAGAATAACAACAGATCAATTCCATGGAACACTGCAGATGTGAGATAAAGTCAATAGCAATAATTGACAAAAATGAAAACCGCTAATGTTAAGTATTTGGTCTATGCTTCACATGTTTCCCCAATACCATATGTATATTCCACTATTTAATTCTTTAAAAACTGTATCCTGAGACAATCATTATTGTCTCAGAGGAAAGTAATGCATTCAGGCCAACTTGTCCAAGGTCACATGACTGGGAAGGGACAGAGTCTTATATATGCACTCCGAGGCACGCTGGCTGCAAGTCATGACATTCAACGTTGCAATTAATGTATGTCGTTTTTGCCTTGAGAGTACAGAGACTCACTGCATAACTACTCACATATGTTACCATAAGACTGTCAGTGTGGCAAATGTTTTTTTTTTTTCTCTTTTTTATTCTTACACAGAAAAAAAGCAGATGTTAAAGAAAAACAATAACATCCAGGGTTGGAGTTTGAGAGAGGGAGACAATGAGCATTATCAAACAAATTAGGACTGAATTGCTAAATGTTGCTGAGGTGACTGTCAAGATTTATCAAAACATAGGTGTGTGTAGCCCAGGATGCCGCATTTAGAGTCCTGGAGGGTTACTTACAAGGAGACTCAATTATTGCACGAAGTAAAAATACAGGTCTTTTTCATCATTTCATTTTTGGTGGAACTCGGGAAAATCAGTCATTGTCAGGATACAGACAGAATGAGTAGGAAATCTATGAGTTGACCTGTGTCTCTCAAGATCCAAAACAACTTCCCACCCCTCCCCTCTCTCTACTCAGTGCCACCCCTCCCTCTTCCAGGAATCATTGGTCATGAGATTGAGGTTGCATATGTTTGATGATGTAGGAGGCAGTGACCTTCAAGGACGTGGCTGTGGTCTTCACTGAGGAGGAGCTGGGGCTGCTGGGCCCTGCCCAGAGGAAGCTGTACCGAGATGTGATGCTGGAGAACTTCAGGAACCTGCTGTCAGTGGGTGAGCACAGGCACCCTCTGTAATGGAACATCAGGCCTTAGGAGTGGCTTTGTATGCCAGGGTACAAAGTTTCAAGTATTGCTGGGCGTGGTGGCTCACGCCTGTAATCCAAGCACTTTGGAGGCCAAGGTGGGCAGATCACCTGAGGTTGAGAGTTCAAGACCAGCCTGACCAACATGGTGAAACCCCATCTTAAAAAAAAAAGAAGTAGTTTCAAGTGTTAATTAGTAACTTGAACCTAGGGTTCAAGTTTGAGTGTGCAGTGAGAACCTAAATTTCTAGTAAATTTTACCTTGATATTACCTAGAATGTGTTGGAATTAAGCACATGACTTTGCATGTTTGCAGGACAGCAAGCATTCGACAGGGATATTTTCCAGTTCCTAAGGGAAGAAAAGGTTTGGATGATGAAGACAGCAACCCAAAGAGAAGGGAATTCAGGTAGGAATCAAGCAAGTGTGAATCCCTGTAGGTCTCTTCCATCTGTTTTACTTCTGTCCATGCTCAAATCCATTGCCCTGGCCTAAATGGCCAAACCTCTTTCTTGGGTTATTGACAACCATCTTACACTTGGTGGCCCCGCTGCCTGCCTTCCCACCCTGACATCTCTTCTCATAGCAGCCAAAGTGATCCTTAGGAAATGTAAGTCAGATTGCTATTCCTCAGCTCAAAAGCCTTTTGGGCTTATTTTCATTAAAGTTATAACTACAACCTCTTTTTCTTTTCTTTTTTTTTGAGATGGAGTCTCCCTCTGTTGCCCAGGCTGGAGTGCAGTGGTGCAATCTCGGCTCACTGCAACCTCCGCCTCCTGGGTTCAAGCAATTCTCTTGCCTCAGCCTCTCGAGCAGCTGGGACTACAGGCACAAACCACCATACTCAGCTAGTGTTTTTGTATTTTTAGTACAGATGGGGTTTTACCATATTGGCCAGGCTGGTCTCGAACTGCTGACCTTGTGATCCACCTGACTTAGCCTCCCAAAGTGCTGGGATTACAGGCGTGAGCTACCTTGCTCTCCCTGTAACCTCTTTAATTGACTTTTGGAGACTCTGTGGTCTGCTTTTCATCCCCTCCCCCTACCTCTCTGACTACAGCTCCTCCTCTCCCTCTTGCTCTGTCTTTACCAGCCATATTATTCTCCCTGCTGTTTCTCTGTCTTGCCAAGGAAGCTGTGTTGCCTTTTGCTGGTACCCAGTGACCACAAACTTAGCAGATTGAGCAACAAACATTATTTTTGTGTTCTTTAGGGATGAAGTCTGATACATCTCACTGGGCAATTATCAAGTTGTCTGTAGGGCTTCGTTTTTTCTGGATGCTCTTGGGGAGAAGCCTTTACTTTGGTTTATCAGTGTCTAGGCACTGTCCTCACTCCTTGGCTCTTGCTTCCCTTCCTCCATCTTCAAAGGAAGCAAGTTGCATCTCCATAGGCACGCTCCCTCTGCCACTCTTATGCCTTTTGGGTCCTCTTTCATCTTTTGGGTCCCTTGTAATTCTATTGATCACTCCTGGATAATCCAGGATGATCTTCCTATTCTCTGGTTAATTGACTAGCAGCCTTAATTGCATCTACAACCTCTGTTCCCCTGCTGTATAACATTATCATAGGTCCTGGGGACTGGATGTGGACATCTTTTAGGAACCATTATTCTGTCTCTACAAAAGCTTCTGTCTCAGCCCTTACTTCCTTATCTCACTGATTGGAATGCTCTGTCACCTCAAAACCTTCCGGCATCTCCTTGAGTTATTCAAGTTTCTTTTTGGTTTTAAAGTAATGAGAGAAGCCATCCCAAACCACTCTCTTTATAATTCCATTCTATCAAAATAGAATTTCCAAAGTCTGCATGCACATCACTGACCCCAGGTTTCTCCTTCTCCTGGATGGGGAAGAATGAGGAAGAGAGCAACCCAATTCACACAGCTGAACATTGCCTATATTTCTAGTCATCTTTGTTCAAAAATATGTATATTTGTGCATCTTCATTTTATACAGATTTAATTGTTAAAAACATAAAAGAATATAGATTTTACAACATAAGTTTTCCTTTACTTTTTAGAGACCTAGTGCTCTATTTTCAACTTTATAACTTGGAAAGAATCAGGAAACTGCCCTCTCAAAATAACAACATCCTGAAAGAGAATCTCTCTTCTCCCAAAATCCCCTTAAGTAACAATGTGTTAAATATATCCATATTCCAGTGTGTACCACTGGGTATACAACGACCTCTTAATGTTTTCCAAGATTCATCCTTGGAAAGTTAACTTTCCCTTTGACTGACTTAATTTAGGACTTGGTAATATCCTGACCAAAGTTTTCAATATTTTTATGAGTGTGAGTCATAGTAAGGAAACACATCTTTCACCATAACCAGGACAAACACTTTTCATGCATGTAGATGTCTATGGTTACTTTAGTAGGAATTTCATGAAATGTTACCTTTCCTGCTTGTCATGAGGATGTGATCATTTCTTTTCTAGTTCTTTTTTTCTAAATGCTCATTAGAAGGCTTTAAATTTATTTTATAGCTCACTTGTCTATATTCTTCCATTTGGAAATAGGTATAAAGGTGTATTTATCTATATCATGTATTTTCTGCCCTCTTTTTTCTTCTTCTTCTTTATTTTCTTTGAGACAGTGTGTCACTCTGTCATCCAGGCTGGAGGTTAGTGTCATGACCTCAGCTCACTGCAACCTCCACCTCCTGGATTCACGTGATTCTCATACCTCAGCCTCCCACATAGCTGGGATATAGGTGTGTGCCACCATGCCTGGCTAATTTTTGTATTTTTAGTGGAGATGGGGTTTCACCATGTTAACCAGGCTGGTCTTAAACTACTGGGCTCAAGCGATCCACCAGCCTTGGACTCTCAAAGTGATGGGATTACAGACGTGAGCCCCTGTGCCTAGCCTTTGCCTTTTTTTTTTTAAATGAGAGTCTAATATCCCCACATGGAACCAGAGCATGACCCCTCAGGCATTCTTTTCATCCCAAGTGTTCTCTCTACCTTTCATTGCCTCATCAGGAGCATCACCCTTTGCATACCCCTGTCAGGTCCTGCCTTTCCGATTCCCATCAAAACTGCAGTTGTCTGTTTCTTACCTATTTCAGGTAACCAAATTATTGTTCATACCTACACAGAAAAATAAAATTAAAGATACACGTTATACAAAATTCTTGTGTAGGAATATTATGAATATGTAGATAAAACACTCCTAGGCCATTGATATTATTGTGAAGAGTTTAAGTGACTACATAGTTTAGAGCAAGGGTTTACAGAAGATCGCTGTCACTTCCCACCAGCTGCAAATGTGGGGATTTCCCAAAACTACCTTCACATTCAGTAATTACTTAGAAAGACAAGCAGAACTCACTGAATGCTTTTTTTTTTTTTTTTTTTTT